TCCTTCTCCTCCTCCTCCTCCTCCTCACCCTCCTCCTTTTTCCGTTTCCTCTTGATTCTCGCTCCTCGCCCTTTTTTTCCGTTGCATGCTCTTTCACATCCTTGATCAGGGCAACTCGCCTCGGCCACGTTTTTGGATATGTTTGCACCGGTACTTTTTTCGGTCGCGTCCACCAGGGAGGCGCAAGCGGAGTCAGTAACGCTCCAGGACACGGAAGCGGCCTAATTAGCTACTAAACGCGCCGCAGGCCGGCCGGCCCACTCACCAAGCAGCGGCAGGCTGCGCGGGAGAGGTGGCAAGCTGAGGGCGTCCAGGGAAGCTCAGGCACCTGCAGCCCAGCAAAATGCTGGAAAGTTTGCAGGGTTACTTGTTTTTGGTCGCGGCCGCAAGGCAAGGGTCAGGCGGCGAAGGCAACGTCCAGGCCACGGGCGACGCTAATTAGCTAAAACAGAGGCGTCGGCCGGCCACCTCAGACGGCAAGTTTTGCAGGGTTACGCGAAGCATCTAGAATATTCAGCCGTCTCGGAGATGTCCAAGAAAACGAATCAAATACCGAAGGGGCCCCAATACGGCTTAAAGAGTTTACAAATGCTCCGAAGGACGCCCAAGAGAGTTCTGGACCCTAACAAAATCCCGAGATCGGCCAAAAAGGTACCAACAATGACCTGATTATGCTGTGTGCAAGCTGTGGCCGAGCTCCTACTGCACAACGTTGAACACAATCACGCTACAGGGCTCATTTCGATTCGAACGATCGTTTTCGTTTCCGATGTCCCACGGCTCGGTCCGATCAAGTTTCGCATTTCTGGCGATTCGATGCGGTCCGATACTTGGATGGCGTTATGGCGCAACCTGGCGCAGTCGGTCCGATTCGATCTCGACTCCGTCACGACCTGATCCCACATACGTTCCGATCCGATCCCATTTCTCGGTCCGATGCCAGTTGATGTTGCATCATTGGCATGCATACTGTGTGTGCGCTGTTCTCCCCTCCCTGCTGCGGACTCGCTGTTAATCGTATGCCAATTCAATCGACTTAGACTCCTGCCTTCCATCTGCATTATGTTCGATGCTGGCCAGGGTCTCTATCGGCCTAACCCTCTTGGCTTGCCGTTACGAGCCAGCTAGTTGCGTAGACTACCGGTTTCGTGTTTTCAGATGTTCGAAATTGTGTTCCAGGGTGGTAGCGTACGAGTGGTGATGGTCCCCGAGCGGCCCGACCCTGAAACCCCAGGATGCCCTCAGGTCTTTGGCACGAGGAGGGCGCGTGTTCCGTCGCAGAGCCATCGGAACCTAAGAAACCCAGGGCACCTTGGGGGGAGGCAGGATGCTTCCTGGCATGGGTCCCTTTCTGCAATGCCAGCTTGTCCTCCCCGGGGCCCGAGGCGGCAGGAGGGAGGGCGCGCGTGCCCAAGCCTGCCGAGCAGGAGATCGAGTACAGAACGGATGCTCCACAGACATGTTTTTCGCCGAATCTACAGGAATCCGATTAACCTCTGAGAAGATCCGACGAAAAACATCAAGTTTGGGGTACATCAATTCTGTACATAGTCGATCCCCGACCCGGAATACAGTTGCAAGGCGTGGCACATCCCAGGCATGTGCGACACCCGCAAAGAAGCCCTCACCGCGCCTGCAAGGAGTGGGCGTCTTAGAATGCCCTTCTGCTGCCTGGAAGGAGGTTTAATGCTTTCCAGGGCCGCTCCCCCTCCCCCTGGCAGCACGCGTGGTCACATCATCGGCCGTTCTGGAATTGCTCTCCAGCGCTCTTGTCGGCCTTCAGGCAGCCAAAACGGTCTCAAGATGGCTCGAGAGGCTTCCGAGACGGTCGAAGAAGATTTCGAGATGCCCTCCAGGAGAGCATGAGGCAGCCAACACCACTGATTGTCCTCAAATTCTACACGCTTCGCGTATCCCCACCAGACTCCAGCCATCCACCTGCCGCTGGGCTGCTGCGTGAGGCCTCGGCCGGCGCGTAGCTGTTGCCTTGCGCGTCGCCTCTGCCTAAGTAGTCTCTGCGCAGCCCGCTTGGACCTGACTCGCCGCTGGCGCGCTCGCCCGCGGCCGCTGACTAAAAAGTATCCCCACCAGCCCATCCAGAAATCCAGGCGAGTTGAGGTGATCAGGGAAGTGCGGGAGCAAAGAGGGGACGGCCGAACCGTGCGAAGGAGGGATGAGGAAAAGGAGGATACTGGATGGATGGATGAGGGGGTGGGGAGAAGGAGGATGAATAGGATGAGGAGGAGGAGGTGGAGGAAGAGGAAAAAGAGAAGGAGTAGGAGGAGGAAGGAGGAGCAGGAGGAGGACAAGCAAACGGGCCAGAGGTCTCTTGGATGCCATATCTCTTGGGCGCTTCTTGGGGGCCTCTTGGAACGTCTTTGGGGTCTCTTGGGCGTCTGAGGTGCCTCGGGGGACCCCTTGGGGCCGCTTGGGAGCCTCTTGGGGGCCTCCTGAGGACCTCTTGGGGCCATCTTGGGGCCATCTTGGGGCCATCTTGGGGCCTCTTGGGGCCTCCTGGGCGCTTCTTGGGGCCATCTTGTAGGACATCGATCAAAGAAGGGGGCTCCCCTCGGGAGCCCCCCCCCACGTCGCCTTTTCGAGCGTTCTTCGGGCGCTCTTGGAGCGCTCTTGGGCGCTCGTGGGGCTCCCTTGGGCCCCTCTTAGGGCTCTCTTGGGCCATCTTGGAGCTATCTTAAGGCCTCGAATTGCCATCGGAAGCGAAAAGGCGAGAACGCCAAACACATTGATTTCCCCAAGGTTTTTGAGCCATCTTGGACGCCATCTTGGGCTCTCTGACGCCCTCTTGGGGCCATCTTGGACAACCTGACCGCTCGCGGGGCGCCCCGTCCAGGTCCAGGGGAGGGGGTAGGGGGAGGGGTAAACCCCTCCCCGAAAGGGAAGAAGGGAGGTGGTTCGCGCGGGGTGCCGCTCCCCCCGACCCCCCCTTCTACGGCTCGCGGGCACGCTGCGTTGAGCGCCCGAGTTATCCGGGGTAACTGGGGCCCGGGGTAACTCGGGCTTGGATTCACGAAAAAGGAACCGGAATTACGGTGTGGGCATTGGCTCAGGAACCGTTGGATAAGGAATCCAGGGTCTGGAAGCCAGTGGAACTCCAGTCGTGGATCGGCCATGGATATCACCACCGCCCTCGTTGGATGAGAAATCCTCCTTCTTAATCAACGCCCCCACCGTAGCCCTGACCCGAATTGCCCCTGATGATCTGGGGCTCTGGACGCCTGAGTTATCCGGGGTAATTCGGGCCCGGGGTAACTCGCGTTCGGATTCCCGAAAAGCGAACTCGAGTTAACCCTGACCCGGGTTACCCCTGATGATCTGGGGCTCTGACACGGTGTGAGGGGCAACGATAGGGTCGGGACTGGCATTGGGGGGATGCATCGACCTGGAAACGGCGATACATCGCCGATAGATCGGCGATAGGCCCCCGATCGTGAATCCGCACCTTCTTTTGCAGGTTGGGGCTGCCCCTATCGGCGATCAATGTACGATTCGGGGTCGATGCATCCCCCCCTGTGTCTTTCCTTAGGTCGGGCATGTCCCCCTACATGCAGATTTTGGACGAAAAATAAAAATAGTCAAAGAACATTCAAACATAGCCAACAACAACAAAACATCAGAAAAAAAAACATCCGGAAACACGTCCCCAGGTCGGGGCTATAGGGCGATCAATGTGCGATTCGGGGTCGATGCATCCCCCCTATGCCCATCCCCCCCCCTATTAACAGGGGATATGTCGACCCCTATCCCAAGCTTCGTGGGGTTTTCGAATGGACCCGCAAAATCGGGGCCCAACCCTGGGATATACGAGGGGGGCGTCCATACTCGATAGGGGTGCGTCCGAATAGCCCCCTGGGGGTGTATCCCAGGGTTTCCCTCCTTTCTGAGCTGCTCCATTTTTCGTAGAAAAGTCGGGGGTTGGGATAGAAACATCGCCTGCGACCTATCGTTGCCCCCGAGGGTGCGGCACACCTCTCTCGCGAACTCCGGAGCCCGGGCGCGGCGCGGCACGCGCGCGCCGGCACGCCACGGCACGACGGCACGGCACGGCGTGCGCCTCGCATCCTCTGTTCCGCCATCGCTCTCGGCAGCGACCTCCTCCTCTTCCTCCTCCTCCTCCTCCTCGCCTCCTGTTCCTCCTCCTCCTCCCTCCTCCTCCTCCGCCTCCTCCTCCTCCTGCTCTTCCTCCTCCTCCTCCTCCTCGCTTCCTCTTCCTCCCCCTCCTCCTCCTCCTCTTTCTCCTCCTCTTCCTCCTCATCCTCTTCCTCTTCCTCCTCCTCCTCCTCCTCTTTCTCCTCCTCCTCCTCCTCTTTCTCCTCCTCCTCCTCCCTCCTCCTCCTCCTCTCTCCTCTTCCTCCCTCCTCCTCCTCCTCCTCCTCGCTTCCTCCTCCTCCTCCTCCTCCTCCTCTTTCTCCTCCTCTTTCTCCCATTCCTCCTCCTCTTCCTCCTCCTCCTCCTCTTCCTCCTCCTCTTCTCCCTTCTCCTCCCGTTCCTCCTCGTCCTCCTCCTCCTCCTCCTCGTCCTCCTCCTCCTCCTCCTCGTCCTCGTCCTCCTCCTCCTCCTCCTCCTCCTCCTCCTCCTCCTTTTGCATGGTGGCACAGTTCGCCCCGGCGGCATCTCCGTTCAGGCTTTTCGCAGCCTTCCCTTGCCTCGCCGCTAGCGCAAAGAGTGTTGCGCATATCCTGTGCTGCGAAGCGGTATTCTCTCGAAGCAGCTCTCGGGCTCCTTACAGCGCACGGCGCGGGCAAGGCACCTTCGGCGGCACAATTTTCACGTTCTGTGCTGTGCAGTCAGCACATACGACAAGAAATCGTGCTGAAGTCCTCCTCCTCCTCCTCGGGCTTTGCGGGCACACTGGAAGATAAGACATCCTCGAGGGGGCACCCAATGGCAGGCCTGTCTCTCGTCTTGTGCGCCTCCAGTAGACGCGGGCTCTCTTGAGGCAGTTCAGACTCCTCGCAGCATTCGCGATTTAGGACAAAGTGGGAAAAACGAGAGGGGGGCAGAGGGATTCGCGAGCGAATAGACACTGAAGCCAGCGGGAGACGAGGGTGGAGAGGCACAATTCTAAGGGTCGCTCGAGCCTGCCCGCGCGGACACCCGCTCGCCGGGCTGCTGGCCCGGCCACATCAAACTGTTCGGCCGGGCGTTCGTGCTCGTGGGGAGCGCAGGGGTGCCTTCACGTCGTCGTCCTGCCTGACCCTCCTTGACCACCTATCACCACATCGCTCCTGCATCCCCTCTCCTCCGCCCTCCTCCCCCTGCTTGGTCCGCCGAGCAGGGCAAACTCCAGTTCAAGCTCTCGCCCCGCAGCCGTTATCTTGCCACGGCCCGTGCACCAGAAATCCACGAGTGGTGCTGGGAAGGCCGCCCTCGGACGCTCTTAGCTAGGCATAGCAGATGATCGAGAACCCTCCTTTGCATATCTGCACTATCCAGGTCCCACTCTTTCTCTCCCATCATTATGCCTCCTACGCGTCCTCTTCTCCTCCTGCTGCCATCGCTGCTGCAGCTGTTGTTCCTCCCTCTCCACAACTCTCTGCCTCATTGTCATTATGTCCCTGCTCCTTGGTTATTGCTCCTCCTTCTGCTCCTCCTCCTTCTGCGCCTCCTGCTCGTCTTCTCCCCCTCCTCTTCCTCCTCCTCCTCCTCCTCCTCCTCCTCCTCCTCCTCCTCCTCCTCCTCCTCGTCCCCGTCCGCTCCAGCACGCTGTACTTCACAAAGCGTCCCAAGGAGTCCTCCCCCTCCACTCCCCCTCAGAAAAAAGACAGCGCACTCGAGAGTTTCCCCATCCAGAGCGAGCCTCGAACTGGCTGTCGCCTCTCGCCGAGGAAGCGCCCGCCCACTGGCGATCACCCCGAACCAAACTGCAGCGGAAAACGCGAACGAAAATCGACACATCCATTGTACGCGCTCTGGCAGAAACACTCACTTGTTCTTCCGTTCCCCAACATAGACGCCCGCCGCCGGAGGCGTATCGGGCGAATCACGATGGATGGGGGGGCGGGGGGCAACGCTGGGCCCGACTACGACGACGCGACGACGACGACGCGACGAGGTTTCGAGGTTTCGAGGTTCGAAGTTCGAGACGCCACGGACGAGGACGCCACGAGGAGAGAAAGAACACGCCCTCGAACATCCTTGTCTTTGTGAAAAAAAAGACACAGGTCAATATATGTTGCCGTGCAGGTTCCGGAGCTGTCATTGCGATCGCGCCTCTTTGAAGCTACTTCGCGCCTGGGAGGAGGAGGAGGAGGAGGAGGAGGAGGAGGAGGAGGAGGAGGAGGAGGAGGAGGGGGCGGCAGTCGGAGACTCCTCAAGCCATCAGGAATCAGGAATCAGGAGGACGAGGAGGAGGAGGACGAGGAGGAGGAGGAGGAGGAGGAGGAGGAGGAGGAGGAGGGGGACCGAGGAGGGGGGCACGAGGAGGACCGAGGAGGAGGAAGAGGAGGAGGAGGAGGAGGAGGAAGAGGATCGAGAAGGAGTAGGAGGATGACGAGGATCGCGGAGCCTCCTGCAGATGATCGAGCAAGCCGTATAAACCTACGCCCTCGAAGGTCAGCCCCGATTTCTTGGAGCTCGTCTGCGCTGGCGTCTCCCTCTCCCGAGAGCTCGGAGCGCGCTCCGGGAGCGGCGCCGACAGAAAAGGGGTGCGGGTCCAGGAGTCCGCGCGGGGCCCCGAACGAGTTCACGCTCACAGGCGAAACGCGGTCACAAAGAGCGTGGGTCAAGAACGCGGCAGAAGCATACACTTTTGGAGGTCCGCGCGGATTTCTTGGATCTGAGCTGGGCCCCTCTCCCCTGCGCGCGGAACGCGCCAGTGGCGGCGCTGGAGGCGCCGCCAGGGGGTCCCAGCGCATATTCAAGAAACTCGCGCGGACCGCCCAAAGTTCATGTTTACAGTCGAGGCGAGGTCACAAGAGCGTGGATCAAGAACTATGCCGGGCATGTCCTCCTACAGGCAGATTTTGGATGAAAAATGAAAAATACAGACAATAATCAGAAAATTATGGGCAACTCGTTGCGTCATTTTGTTTTGGGCACTATTTGAATATTTCCCAACCAGTGCTTGCACTGAAGCGGTCCTAGCGGATATTGGAAGAATTGGCGAAAATTTCCCGCCGATTTTGGTGGCCGGCTGGGATCCTGGGTTCCCGGTTCCGGGTTTCCAAATTCCTGGTTATTCGTTCCAGGCCGATTTCGGTGGGTTCCCAGGTTCCCGGTCGATCTTCTTATCGATCACTTTATCGATCCCACGATTCATCGAACCATCCACTGATCGGGGTTTTTCTCTGGTGCAACTCCTCCTGCAGCGAGGCACGCCCGACTTGAATCACGCACGTGAGGCCCCTCCGCGGAGCGCCGAGAGGACCCGCGGACATGCATCCCGAGCGACGGGCATGTCTTCCTGCGGGCGGGTTCTGGAAGGAAACCGGAGAATGGTGGCAACAGAAGCAGACAACATGGTGGAAACAGCGTTCCATGATCATTAGTTGGACTCCCCGACTGGAACCAAGAGCGTGAAGCCCCTCCGACTTCCATGGTGGACATTCCTCCCGCAGAGGGACACGCCCGACCGGAGTCAAGAGAGTGAGGCCCCTCCGCCGAGAGCCGACATGGCCCCGCGGGCGTGCACCCCGAGCGACGGGCGGCCTCCGAGGTGCAGGGCCCCGCGGCGAAGAGCACGAGAGCACCCCTTCCGGCACCACGGTTCCCCGAGCAGCGCTTGCACTGAAGGGGCCCCAGGTGGTATCGAAAGACCTTTTTCCTTCCAGGGAAACATCGTCCCGAATCCGCCAGACCTCTGCGCATCCGCTTGGGAAGCGGATGCTCAAAGATTCGGCGACAGTCCCAGGCCGATCTCGGGAACCGGCTGGGTGCCCGGGCTCCCGGGTCCGGGTTCCCGAGTTCCCGGTTGCTGGTTGTGTGTCGATTTCTGGATCCCACAATCGAGCTCACCATCGGTCTCATGATCGATCTCACTATCCATCTCGCTCAATCGATCTCACCATCGATATCACCATCGATCTTACTATCGATCCCACCATCGATCTCACGATCTATGTCAAACCATCCACTCATTGGGGTTTTCTCAGGCG